GGAGACACTTGGTTTCATTGGAGCCAACCTCATTTTACTGCTTAAGTACGAGGCCTTATTCATATTTTCACTAATAATCATCGTTTATGTAATTTTATGGTTTTACTGCAATCTCCCTACTCAACATTGTAATCATACTCAATAGATAGGATATCAACATGCTCCTGTGGCACCTGCTAGGTATACTGCTCTGGGCTGGTTCAGAGAACGAGGAGGTTAGGGCAGTTGGCCCAATTGGTACTGGCGATTGGACGATCCCCCCAAGAGGTTGGGACGAAACATCAGCACTACTCACCTTTCCAAATACATGCAAAAATAATGGGACGACAAAGACCAAAGACTTATATTTTNTATACTGCTCTGGGCTGGTTCAGAGAAAGGGGAGGTTAGGGCAGTTTGTTATAATCACACACGCATACACTCAACCATACGACTCCGGAAATCGGACTTTACCATAGGAGGCTGGACAGCAGACTTATGGCAGGGTTATGTTTGGTATCTTAATAGCCCGGGAGGAAAACAAGCAGGAAGTGTTTGGAAGGACGTGTTCGTAAACACTGGGAAGTGGGGCTCAGGATCTTATGGCACAAGTGCCCTCGCTAAAAACTGGACGTCTAGAATACAGTTACAAGACTCTACGGACATGCTTACCCTAGTAGTAAATACTACCCAGACACCCTTGGACAAACCACAGGGCCACGGTCAGCATTCTGACCCTCCTTGTGATGTCATCATGTTGTGTATTTATCGATCAAGTGGATTACATGAAGACCCATGTGTGTATGTGGGATTCTGCCCTAATATTACTAATGAAACCATGAACGCAAGTAGTACAGTAAAACAAGAAGGAAGTTTGACCGTAGGGCCAAAAACGACCTCACGCATCCAACCCGTGATGGTCAACGGTTGGCCTTCCAAGGATGATTGGTTTATGATAGCAACAGGGATTTCAGGCATGACCAACAATTGGTTAATAATGATGGAACAAGCAGCAAACGCATCTGGAGAAAGTTGTATGGTCTGCATGGGACCCAGACCTTTACTACGCATAGTTCCCGCTCCTATAAATAAAGACTGTTTGATAACAGTGATGAGCCAGACGGTCCCATCAGTCAATTGTACAAGCTGGGATGACATTTTTCCTGTAACCAAGGCAGTTAAGCATAAACCTATATTCTCCTCGAATGTGGCACAGGGAAATTTTACATGTGTAAATATAAAAGGTACAAAAGCCCCGGTCAGTGATGCTTTTATCATAAACCGCTGTAAAGACACATTGGATCTCGATAAAAATTTTAAGCCAGTGCCCAGAGCGGATATCTGGTGGTATTGCGGAGACATCAGGCTATTTGACAAAATACCCAAGAATAGTTCAGGAGTATGTGCATTAGTGACTCTGATACTCCCCGTCGTGATCATACCCATGTCTGTTGGTGATCTGATTGAAGCAACCAACACCATTGTCCCCAAAGAGTGGTCTCGACACACCCAAAGGGACACATCCTGGCAGCAGGCAAACAACCCAACATATATCGACGCAATAGGGGTTCCCCGTGGGGTACCAGACGAGTATAAACTTGTGGATCAAGTTTCTGCAGGATTCGAGTCATCTATCTGCTGGTGGTGCACCATACATAAAAACGCAGATCGCATTAACTATATTCACTATAACGTTCAGAGATTAAGCAATTGGACACAAAGCTCATGGCATTCCAAAACCGCATCGCAATCGACATGCTGCTAGCTGAGAAGGGAGGCGTGTGTGCAATGTTTGGGGATCATTGTTGCACATTTATCCCTAATAATACAGCACCAGATGGGAGTTTGACGCGAGCCCTAGAGGGCCTCAAAACTCTAAACAAGAAAATGAAAGAACATTCAGGAGTTGATACTGCAATGTGGGACTCCTGGTTGAATGTATTCGGACGATACAAGGGTCTAGTCACCTCAGTCCT